ATATATATATATATATATATATATATATATATATATATATATATAATAATATAATATATATATAATATATATAATATAAGTCCTATTTCCTAAGCTTTGCAAAAACTCCCCTGCGTGTTTAGCACTTCCTATCGAATCCTCCCCCAATCCAATTAAAGCACTATCCAGGGTTAGGGTTAAATGTAATAAATCCTCTCCCTATCCAGGGCGAGAACAAAAGTTAATATATCCTTCCCTACCCAGGAATAAGTTTAAAGCCACCATATCCTCACCTTGGGTGTGGGAAATTACTATTGAAGATGATATTGTGATATGAAGGATGCTGCTGTGTGTAGTTTGTTGGTCCCACAGGAAGACGTTCCTCCGTGACGGAGAAAGGAAAGACTATGAGAAAGTGGAAGACTTAAAGAAGAAGGAAGCGTCGGAAAGGTGGAAGGAAGGTGTGAAAGGCAGAGGGATAAAATAAAGCGAAAGGGGAGAGAGAGAGAGAGAGAGAGAGAGAGAGAGACAGAGAGAGACAGAGAGAGACAGAGACAGAGATAGAGGGGAAGGAATTGAAAGAAACTGGGAAGGAACTGGTAAGAGAGAGAGGGAGAGACAGACACAGAGAGAGAGGGGTCTCGGAAGCTTGGTCTTGGGCCAGCATCTATTTGTGATCTGGAGTCTAGCTCCCAGTATCCTCTCATACACCTTGCTCTTGCTCTTTCCTTTTTCTGATCTCTCTCCCTCCCTCTCTCTCTCTCTCTCTCTCTCTCTCCTCTCTCTCTCTCTCTCTCTCTCTCTCTCTCTCTCCCATGCCTCTTGTTCTCCAAATCTCCACCATATTCTCTCATTTACTTAATTACTCCGTATCTTCCTCTCCTGTTTTTTCCTTCTTTTTAGAGCTTTCTCTTGATATCCAATTATCGCGGTCATCCTGACCCTTGGTCTGCTGCTGCTATCCTTACCGTTAATAACAGTGCATTAACGGGATCCAAAAAGGATTTCCTAGCCGTTATTAGCTGTGGATTAATAGAATCCAGTAGTGTAGGAAAGACATATGCTACATAACAAGCTTGTATTGCGACAACGTTTCTCTATACACAGAGCGAAATGTCACAGTAAAAGCTTGTTCTACGATATCTCTCTGTCTCTCCTGTATGGTAAGATTTGATTACAAAATTTCACCGTACAGTATATACAGAGCAAAACTTATTCACGAGCAACATTTCGCCCTGAGCAGAGCGAAACGTGTATTTGTTTAGGCTACTGTGACTTTTCTCTTCATGGACACGAAACATCCAATGACTTTTTCCACGTAATTTTGTTAGGTAAGTATCCCTTCAAGATTGGGGGAGGGGCAGTCTACATGCTGCTGAAGGGCTCTCTTGATCCAAGGAATCGAAACTGTCCTGTCCTACCTAGGACCTGATTGTCAGCAACTTTGCCTTCCCCTACACTCCTGAATTTTCAAGTGCTTCCTAGGAATATAAAAATGATGTTACATATATATATATTATATATATATATATATATATATATATATATATATATATATATATATATATATACAATAAGATCACAGTAAACAGGTGATTTCAGTATATGCAAAACAACCACTCTGAAAGAATAGAGAAATTCCAAGCGCTTTCGTGACTACTCACATTGTCAAGGAACTATGAAAGTAAAGCATCCAAGGAAGCTATATAAGGGGTCTGGCCAGCACCTCACTATCAGATCCCACAACGGTTAAACACCTGACGCGCGCCGACCCAACTGGATAGGTCCTTTGCATAACTCACCCACAAACTATTCTACCCAAGAAAATTTAAAAATTATTATTTGTCCAGTGTATTATTAAATTCTTCCCAAATTCTATGAATGATAAATGGATCTAATTTATATAAACCAAAGGAAATATTCTTATTATTGTCAAAACTGCTTTTTATGAAACAAGATTCAATTATATTCCTGTCGACCATGGACTTGCTTGATACTACTTTCTCAACTTTTTGAAAATCAATTGGATGGTTAAAATCTCTTACATGAATAAATAGAGCATTGGAATCTTGTCCAGTTCTAATGCTATATTTATGTTGTTTTAATCTTAGTTCGAGATTTTTACCAGTTTGACCGTAATAAACTTTATCGCAAATTTTACAAGGAATCTTATAGACACATCCATCAGCATTTTGGGGGGAATTCTTTATCAAAAGTTTTTTTTACTGTATCAAGATTTTTGAATACAACTTTAATATTAAAAGTCTTAAGATAGAGTCAAACTGTCTGTTTTCTCATCAATGTTTTTTTGAGAGCTTTACGAATTTGTAGTCCAGAGTTCATAGATGAGGAAATATCCAAAATTTATGAAATAGGTAATGATTTAAAATACCCAAGAAATGTAATTGATAAATCTTTTAAAGTTGCTAGAAATACTTTTTACAATCCAAAAAGGGACACCCAGCCTTATTCAACTAAAAATATGTTGGTTCTCCCTTACCATGAAAACTTGGTTGATATGCCTTCTCTTAAGACTTTTAATATTAAAGTTGTATTCAAAAATCTTGATACAGTAAAAAAAACTTTTGATAAAGAATTCCCCCCAAAATGCTGATGGATGTGTCTATAAGATTCCTTGTAAAATTTGCGATAAAGTTTATTACGGTCAAACTGGTAAAAATCTCGAACTAAGATTAAAACAACATAAATATAGCATTAGAACTGGACAAGATTCCAATGCTCTATTTATTCATGTAAGAGATTTTAACCATCCAATTGATTTTCAAGAAGTTGAGAAAGTAGTATCAAGCAAGTCCATGGTCGACAGGAATATAATTGAATCTTGTTTCATAAAAAGCAGTTTTGACAATAATATGAATATTTCCTTTGGTTTATATAAATTAGATCCGTTTATAATTCATATAATTTGGGAAGAATTTAATAATACACTGGACAAATAATAATTTTTAAATTTTCTTGGGTAGAATAGTTTGTGGGTGAGTTGTGCAAAGGACCTGTCCAAGTTGGGTCGGCGCGCGTCAGGTGTTTAACCGTTGTGGGATCTGATAGTGAGGTGCTGGCCAGACCCCTTATATAGCTTCCTTGGATGCTTTACTTTCATAGTTCCTTGATAATGTGAGTAGTCACGAAAGCGCTTGGAATTTCTCTATTCTTTCAGAGTGGTTGTTTTGCATATATGTATATATATATATATATATATATATATATATATATATATATATATATATATATATATATATATATATATATATTATATATATATATATATATATATATATATAATGTATGTATATATGCGCTATGATTTATAATATTTACACATTTTTTTAAGAAGTCGGCCGTCTCCCACCAAGGCAGAGTGGCCCGAAAAAAAAGAAACACTTTCACCATCATTCATTCAATCACTGTCTTATCAAAAACATGCTGACATCACAGCTAAGCCTCTGAACAGCAACATTCCCATCCTTCCTTCAGAGTGCAAACACTGTACTTCCCACTTCCAGGACTCAAGTCAAGCCAGCCAGTTTCCCTGAATCCCTTCATAAATGCTACTTTCCTCACATTCCAACATTTACGCTATGATTTACAATATACATTTAAGCCCTGATTTACAATATAGCGTTTACAAACTCCTAAGTGCCACTTTCATAAGGATCTAATAAGATACAAATTATTTTTTCTTCGGTTGGACAAATATTGTAAATGTTTGTCATACCGAAGATAAAATAATATGTATCATATTAGATGTTCATGACAGTGACACTTAGGAGTTTATAAACGCTAATATCATCTCAATTTCGCTATGATGTAAACATTTGAGAAAGTTTTGATGGAAGGTAAGCCTGTAGTAGAATATACGTGAGATTTACGGTAGCTTGAGGGAGACAACGTATCCCTCTGGGTACTCTGAACGTAAACCCCTTCAATGTGTACATTATCTGTTAAAATGTGTACGCAAAATACGCAAAAAAAGCTTCATTATGTGTGCACAAACCATCGCGATGTGAACACAAGTCATCAAGACGTGAATGCAACTTATACACCCTCAAAACGTGTACACAAAATATATACGAGCCATGACGACGAATACACAAACTCTCACACAAATGCCCTGCAAAACAAGGGACTTTCTATGAAGCAGCTTTATACGTGTCAATTAATCCTATGTCATTGCATATCTATAGAAATAAAGTCTGTCATTGTTTTTGTCAGTGTTCACATCAAAAGTCAGAGTAGACGAGTATCATGCACTATGATGTGGCTGTAGAGTTCGGGCTAAACAAGCAAAATTTCAAACATAATACAACGAAGGACTTTACCTATGGAGAAGACTATACTTTAGACATAAACATCTAAACATCTGCTGAAGCAGCGTATTTGCAGACAAGCAGAAAGGCAGACACACAAGCTGTAGAACAGTGTTTTATTGGAACAGCGTTTCGCTCTTGATAAAGCGAAACAGAACGAGAGGCTGTGTAAACAAAACCCTTGTTCTACATCTTGTGTTCATGGCGCTCGTCTCTGTACACTTACTCGTCACCCTCACTAGCGAGTTATACAGGAATAACAACACAAATATTAAGTACTCATGGTCCTTTCTATTTTACAGCAAAGAAATCAGAGCTATATATTTTTTTAGATCTAAAGGAGGATCGTATCATGCAATATTATCTCAAAACTTTCACATTAACGTGAATGATAGAGAAAATATTCTAATTATAAATTTTAACTCAGGGCTGAAGCCATTTTAAATTGCTTTTCTTTTTCCCATCAAGCATCATTTTCTGTGATAACGATTTGTTGTTTCAAGAATGTACACTAGCCTGAGAAAGGAAACTTCAAGGCTATTGTGTCCTCTCCTTTAATAAGTATAGGAAGTGTGAGGCTGGTGTTTGCTGAAGACAGATTAGCGGACACCCCAAAGCACAGGCTAGAGGACACATCTTAAAGAACACCCTCCCCCAGAACACACGACAGAGGACACACCCCAGAGTACTCACGGAAGGCGGCCTGCACCAGTCGCTGATACATCTCCACCGAGGCTTTACGATGGACCATGCGGTGAGTAATGGCTTGGTACCGCCGTCGGAACTCTTTCTCGCTACACGTCGACTCCATCGACCCTCGTCTACCTGGAACAGGACACCAGATAAATACTAGCAGCTGATGGTTGAAGGGATGTGAAGACAGAAATACGGCATTTTTAATGATATGATAAAGCAGCTGATGGTTAACATGACAACAGTGAGCGCAACTAATGATTTACCTCGTAATTAAATAAGGAGCTGTTCATTTCATTTTTGTCTGAACGACTATAATACTAATAACATTACCTGTAATTATGAAATAGCCTAAATTAATCACTGCCATAAATTATTAAAAACAAAAGTGTCGTAACTTTTATTAAGCATAATTTCATCCAAGAACTTTTTAAGGCCTAAACAAATGTTATTTATTAGTTTCAGAATCACTAAACCTGTATTTAACTTGTCTACCACCAATCAAAAATACTTGGATTTAGGTTATCCTACATGTTTCCCCGCAATCAGTTATAGGAATCATTATAGACAAGTGTCTATAACTACTGTAAGGAACAAAAAGGCACAATGACGAGACTGGAGCAATACACAAACTCGCACATAAGAGAAAGAAGCTTGTAACGAAGTTTCGGTCAGACTAGTGTTCGTGTGACTACTTAATGGTCCAAGTCGGACCGAAACGTCGTCATAAGCTTCATTCTCCTGTGTGCGAGTTTGTGTAATGTTCCAGTCACGTTATTGTGCCTCTACTCCTTACAGTAGTTATAGACACTTGTCTGTAATGATTCCTATAACTGGCGGGGAAACAAGTATTTTTGACTGGTGGTAGACAAGTTAAATACAGGTTTAGTGACAATTGAACAATCGATAGATTCTGAAGCTAATGAATAGACATTTGTTTAGGCATTAAAAAGCTCTTTGACTAAAATTATTCTTTTTAAAAATTATGACACTTTTGTTTTGAATAATTTATGGTAGTGATTAATTTAGCCTATTTCATAATTACATGTAATGTTATTAGTATTACAGTCATTTATAAAATGCATTAAACTGAATTGTACACCATGAACAATTATAAAATACTCTATAATTTGCCTATAAAATATTCCGTAAATAGCTTATAATGTGTGATATAACTTTCTCGTTATATCCTAAAAATAGCCAGTACTGCATCCTACGGGCGCACAGGGTATATATACCCTGAGGGATGTATTTCTCTCAGCGTGTATACGAGGGTATACCTTAATCCCTATTTTAGGGATTAAAGTTTCCCTTTCTGGCAGTGAAAAGGTCATCGTGCAACGACAGGTTTTAAACCTCATTTAAAAAGCCATCCTATATAAGAGTCTTAAAATGTTCCTCATGTGGGAGGGTTACTGTTCAGCTGCTACTGAAACCTTGTTCAACATGTGTTTGATAATACACCGGCAGTCTCCCACTGTGGTGGGGAGAAACAGAAAAAAAGTTAACATTCATCATCATTCACTCAATGACTGACTTAAGTGTGATAACCCTCCGAGCTGCAACATCTTCACCCCTCCTTAGAGTGAAGGATTATATGATTATTTATAATAATAATAATAATAATAATAATAATAATAATAATAATTATTATTATTATTATTATTATTATTATTATTATTATTATTATTATTATTATTATTATTATTCCTAGAGAAGCACTAAAACTTAAGGAATAGGAGGTAAGATTTGATTTAAGAAAAGTGGAGATGGGTGGTGTCCTGAGAGGTAAAACTCTCAACAGTCCTTAGATAGATCAAGAGTCCTTAGATAGATCAAGAGTCCTTAGATCAAGAGTCCTTAGATCAAGAGTCCTTAGATAGCATCAAAGCATCGTCTAGAAATATTCATCCTACCTGTACCTACCATGCAACATGCAATACAAGTGTCCCATACTGCTTCTCGAAGTTGAATCAATGTATCACATAAAACTAGCCCATGTTGCGAGGTACACTTACAGTTCCCCAAATATCTTCATCGTAGCCGCCATTATGCTTACAGCTAGACCCAGAACACTGATTTCTTTCAATGTCTTTTTTTACTTATTTATTGCTAAACATGTGCAAATTTTTATATTATATTCTATAAATGACTCAGTGTTATCAAATCTACTGTAAACGATTTTTTTGTTTGTTCTAAATATTCTGTAAATGACTGTTCTCAGCTTCTGTAAATATGGCATTTTCTAAGAATTGTGTTAAGTGTTGCATTTGATTTACACATTCTTCAAATAGCTCTTTAGTTTTAAACGTTTTGTACACGAATCTTGATTTGTTTAAAACATTCTGTAAGTTATCATTTGTTCGGTGATATAAGATACAAATTTACTTATTTTATTAACTCTGAATAAACGCTCCAATTGCCTTGGATTCTTGCAGCTAATGCCTACCCGCGGCCACTACATCCTTCACTTGAAATGTAGCATCTACGTGGGTTATTCAGCACAAGGAATGGTAACGACTCGATCCTCCGTTTGCTAATGCAGTGGCAGACATGCTTACACATTCTCACAACAGGAGACAGAGCTTACAAATTTCACGTTAGGAAATTCGTGTGAAACTTACTTGTATCTTTCTGTTTATCTCCGTTCTCTATGGTGATTCTGGTGTCCGGCTGAGCTTGCATAGTCTCCTGAACCGTGGTCTTTATAGTCTCATGCACAGTGGTCTTTATGGAGTCTTGCGTAATGTCCTGTCCGCTCTCTTCCACCCTATCTTTCAAAGTGTCCTGCCTGGAGCCTGGCCTGGAGTCAAGTACAGTGTCGGCTTCGGGGTCGTCCTCGAAGCCAGGTATTCTGATGTGGGGAGGAATGGGGCTAGGTGAACCCTCGTCACGACACCAAACCTGCGGAGAACACACCCATTATTATTATTATTATTATTATTATTATTAGTAGTAGTAGTAGTAGTAGTAGTAGTAGTAGTAGTAGTAGTAGTAACAGTAGTAGTAATAGTAATACATCTAGCACTAAGGTAGCCCGAGGAGCCTCACCTTAGCCTCGTCGCTGGAAGTAACATAGAGCCAGGGGCAGTGTCGGTATGGGTCGAGATATACGCCTTTCTCGTCGTCGTCGCTGTCGTGTCGCGGCGTATCTCCTTGTTCCAGGCTGATGGGAGTCGTCCTGCGGTAAGACGCACCAGTTACTCAAGTCCTCTATGGTGATGAATGGAATGAATGACCAGAACTCTAAATAAACCGAGCCACTAAGCAAACACTGATGGACATAAAATACTAGGCAATGCTACAGCAAACTCAGTCAATAGTTATGCAAGTGCTAATCTAACAATACTAGCAATAGCACAATATACCAATAAATAAGCCAGCACTGCTTTAATGGCGCATCAAACTGCGCTACTAACTGCGCCACTAACTGCGCAAGCATTATTCTTGGAACACTACTTAACCTATATCATACTTAGCAATTAAGCTAGCAGTGATTAGTAACGCAAGTACTGATCTAGCTACAAATGACTGAAAGTGAGCCAGCCACTAATTACATAAACATTAATACTGGAACAATAGCTTGAAATATATAGAACTACATGTCAACGTGATTGCAGTGCAATCAGAGTGAGGGAAAAAAGCATGGTTACTTTGCTAATTAGTTTATTAGTTGTTTAAAGCCTATCAACTGCACTTGAGTCATTAATTAAAGCTGTTGTTATACAGCTGTACACAAACCTCAAGAACACCTGGATCCCTAAAATAGGGATTAAGAAAATTCTCAAAAGGTGAACATCTCCTGGCGAATATATACTGAGAGACTTATACTTTCCAGGTTTATAAAGTATATAAACAAAGATATATGAGCCCGGTGGTCTGGTGGCTAAAACTCCCGCTTCACACACGGAGGGCACGGGTTCGATTCCCGGCGGGTGGAAATTCCGACACGTTTCCTTACACCTATTGTCCTGTTCACCTAGCAGCAAATAGGTACCTGGGTGTTAGTCGACTGGTGTGGGTCGCATCCTGGGGTACAAGATTAAGGACCCCAATGGAAATAAGTTAGACAGTCCTCGATGACGCACTGACTTTCTTGGGTTATCCTGGGTGGCTAACCCTCCGGGGTTAAAAATCCGAACGAAATCTTATCTTATCTGTATATATTTTAAGAAATATATACGTCTCTGTGTATGTACAATAAGAGATACATACCTCTTAGTGCATACATCCTCTTTGTAAAATAACTATTGTTACTTGGAAATTAGTTATTAAGTGAGTGAATTACGATATAAGCTACAGTAATGTATATAAAATACAAGCTTCTTCACAACACTTCCCGTTTTCAGTAAATATCAATTATTATATGACACAAACTGGCAAGGGATTAAATGGGGCCAAAAGTATTTATGGTTATGAAAAGCGCATGCATGCATGCCTGCATAATTATATGTATATATATATATATTATATATATATATAATATATATATATATTATATATATATATATATATATATATATATATATTATATATATATATATATATATATATATATATATGTCTTTTCCAAGAACTAACCCCCAGTCCTTGGAGAAGGAGTTTCTCTCCTCTGACTTGGCTCGATATCCAACCGTGCGAGCCCTTGAAGGCTCTCTGTCAGAGAACCGTCGCTCTACTGTCACGCCAGTAGGAGGGGAAGGTCGTAGCAAGCCTTCCCTAGACGCTGGTCGCTCTCCACACTGAACACAGAGAGCTGGTCGGGTGTCATCATCAAGCTGTTCGCGACTCCCACTCAAAAACACGTTGTCTGATCCGGGACTCAAAGATCTCAAAGACTCCGCACTTCTTTGAGAATCCTTCATGGGGGCAATTGCGAGTAGCTTGCTTTCGGGTAGCTGTAGCGGTCTTTCTCTGGAAGTGGGACTCTGGCTACCGGTTCGTAAGTAGCCGGTGACGAGGCCTGAAGGTTTCAGGAGGTCCTGGCTGCTTCTCCGCCCCATGGTTAAGTCAGCTGAGAGTCGCTTCACTACCTCGGGAGTTTCACGAGAGGAACCGACAGGTATTTCACTCATTCTTTTTATCAGGTCACTTCCGGCAGTTTGGAGCTTGACCGGGCTTTGAAGTTGATGGATCTCGACTGGATGACTGACTGATTTTTCTACTTTAGTGGTGGCTGAGTCATTCACGGGACTAGACTGCTGAATTCCTGACCGTCTAGGACTCTGTTCCTTCTCTGGACTTTCCTTACGTCCATTTGCACGTTTCGGACTTCCTCTTGGCTTTCCTACGAACTTTTTAGGACTCTGTCCTTCACTCGATTGCTTTAAAGAGCCCTCCGTGGAAATCCTGGGACTCTCACCCTTCTTACCCGGGCTTTCCTTTGATCTTCTGCCTGGGCTTCGGCCCTTTGGAGGATATCTAGGTGTCTCAGAATAGGACTCGTCAGATGTATCTACGTCTATAACTCTTTCCGGAGTCACGGGGGTTCGAACGGGAGTCCAATCCTCGAGTCTGAAGCCTTCATGCATAGCAGGACTCCTGACCATCCCTGGCGTCGTAATCTCTTCAGACTTACGCTTGACTTTCTCATGTTTACCTTTCACAGGCCGAGTTTCAACCGAAGGAGCTTCCTTTTCGTTCTCGTCAGGACTCCCATTTTTGGAATGTAATGCCTGAAGGTCTTCGACACTTGCCAGATCAATTTTTACTGATTTTTTAGGCTTATCAAAGACTTTAAATTTCTTTTCTGCATCAGTTTTTAGGTTATCTTGCTCTGTCCAGCCTGGGGCTTCCCCGAACATTGTGACGCCTGGAGGAAAGTCTAATTTTAAAGCTTGTTTTGTCTTTTCTCTTTCTTCTTCAGACCATGACTGCTGGCTCTGAGCACGAACTTCGGATAGTTCACCTTTGTCATTATCCTCGAAGTACCTTGAATACCTTCTGTTGTCATCCTTTGCAACTTTCCCTCCGGCAGAATATCGCTTCTTGATCGCCCCCGTCTTGCTTTCTTCGACAGGTTTTTCTCTTCTTTTCACCGGCGTCTCCACTTGGAGGTCTCGGGGATGAATTTCTTCACCTTCCCGAGAATCCAAAGGCATTGGAGAACTTGAAGGGGAGACCTTATCTGGCTTAGATGGCGCTTCCGGCTTAGGTAAGAAGGTAGGTTTGGGTGGGATCTCGGGCTTGGTCTTGGCTTCAGTTACCTTATCAAATTCTTCGCCTATAGAATGATCAATGTAATAACTAGCTGAGGTTGTGGTGTCTCCATCTGGGGAGGTGAGGTCTTGAGCAGTCTCGAAGTCACTGACAACGCTAAGACCTTCTGTGATATCACTCAGATCGTGATGTTCCTGTAAGCTGGCCACCACCTCACTGGTTTCAGGACTCATTATCTTGGGAGTCAAGGCTTCATCTTCATAAATATTAGCCATACCCGGAGGAGACGAAACGTGCCTTTCTTCTAAAGAATAACTTCGACGGGCTTCTAGATCATTTGTGCTGTTCTCTGTAGCTGTGATGTAATCTTCTGAGGTCTCTGATTGGTCAGTTGGGTGGGAGTCGGTGCGAGAAAGGTCAGATTTGGACGTCATCGTGTTGGTGGTTCCCGACACCGGACTCCTGGACGTTTCCTGCTCCGTGAAGAGACTACTGGACGAGTCCGACTCCGGTGATGCCATTCTTCTAGCGTCGTCCCGGAAATCGGAAATTTTGATTGGTGTTTGCGATGCCGACTCACCGTCCTTCATTTCTTGGACCAGTTTCGTCATTATATTTTCTTCTATTACAATATCACCCTCAAATTCTTCTTCTTCCACAATTTCAGACTTTATTGTTAAAGATTCCCCACTTCGTATGGAACTGTAGTCATTATCTGTCGTACAAGCTATGGCTTTGTCAAGCTCACTGGAAGTACTAGTGGTTGCACCTTGCCAACTATCAGAAATGACAATTTCACTGACACTTGTCTGCTCATCCTCAATGGAAGAGAGTGTGGTAGCGCTGTGAACAAAACTCGATACCCGTAGACGCGGAAGTAGGTCATCGTCAAGATCCTCCTCGAAACTGCCGGCAGTGGGGAGGCTTTTATGACGCGTTGAGGGAGTGGTGGCGGCTGAGGAATGGTCCGTTAGATGAAAACTGCCATTTTCCGAGTCTGACGTAATGGCCTGAGAAGACGCGACTAACGCCCGCTGCACCACTGTTACCTGACTCTCACTCATCGACTCTTCGAGATGGTCACCAAACTCTCCAACTCCTGTGGCCTCGCTAGGAGTTCCGACGTAAAACATTGGTGACCCATCTCTAGCGCAGAGGCCCTCTGCATATGACCCACTTTCCAGCAAAGATGGCCCACTTTCGGCTAGGGAATCTAGTGATAAGGCTGCGAGTTGGCTCTGCAAGTGTTCGTCTGTCCTGAATTCATTCGGATCAAACGTTTTCAAATCTGAATCTGTTGATATTTGAGACAATTTTCTCTCACTAGATAAAATAGAGGGAAGAATTTCTTTATGAAACATATTTTCGTGAAATTCTTCCTCCTCCTCTATAAAGGACTCGGGAGTAAATATCCTACTTCGAGAGAGATCACGAGCGACCTCGTTAACACACTGAGGCTCAATTACCTCTTCCTCGTTGTCACTGTAGCCATTGATATCAACCTCGATGTAGCCCGAGGCTAGACTCAGGGCTTTTCGTCTCTCTGACAAAATCTCGCCCTCCGAGAGCGTCTTCTGCAGTAGGCCTCGACGTGGCTTTCGTGGGGAAGAATCAATAAAGATCTCGTGGTAATTTTGTCGGAATTTAAGTGGAGGGGGTGGCGGTCCTTCGTCTAAGGGTATATCAAAAGCAGAGAATATTGGAGGACATGGCGGGGGTCCCTCAGACCTGGCTCTGGTGGGCTGTGGAGATTGAATTAGGTCATCCAAGTCGTAGATCTCGTACTGGAGGCCCTCGTAGCGAGCTACTTCAGATAGGCTCTTCACCAGCTTGCGGCGTCCACCATCACCGTTGGTCTGAGCTCCCTGAGAGATCATTTCAGCCTGTGGGTTAGATAGTACCTTAGATCACTTAAACTCTTTTTATTCTCACAAACTACTCAAAATATTGCAGTTATTAAATTACAAAATCTTAATATTAACTTATTCTTTACTAAACTAAAAGGATATCGTACAAAAAAAGTAGACATCTTCATTATTTTAAGAATCAATGAAAAGCATAATATACCCATTTATATGTTAGTACTATATTAAAGAGTTATGAGTTAATGGGTTTGAGACAGTTGTCCCCACCTTGTCAATGGCTGGACTGAAAGAGAGGTGAGGCATGGACTTCCTCACCACCCCGGTGTCCGTCTGAGTAGCCTGCGTCCTCATGCATGATCGCTTCAATTTTTCTGTGGAGTGTCAAGAAGGGGGGGTCTCACTCAGTGTTAGTAACACAAGGGACGAGGGACCCTGACGTTCGACATGGAAATTCTTCGAGCAAAAGCAACCAGCAGACTTAGTAAGGAAAGGGGCAGGTAAGGAAAGTCAGGTGCGTGTACTCTGGAGCAGACTCGTAGAGGACAGTAAAATTTGAGTAGGAAAGGTGCTGGTGTAACCTCACTGTGACCAAATTTAAAGAGGGCATGTTATAATAAAGATTAAAAATGCAGAGAGTACAAAATATGAAACAGCACATGGATGGAGCCTTGGATCTAAAATCCTCCTCAGTATTCTAAGAGAGATGGCTATACGCATTGATTGTGAGGATAATGAGTGAAGATGTAAGGATGGGTATTGAAAGCGGATAGAGTTACCTGGATGCCCAAATGACAAGGATAATATGTAGAACATGGTGTGGGATGCTGGGTGTTCTACCACATCCCTGTCAGTCATATAAATACTGAGATAAACACCTAAAATATAACTACTCCTGTAACCACAAATAAGAAGTCCCAATCTCTATTTTAATCCCTCTCTCTCTCTCTCTCTCTCTCTCTCTCTCTCTCTCTCTCTCTCTCTCTCTCTCTCTCTCTCTCTCTCTCTCTCTTGAAAATAACCAAATTAAACTTCATCTTCATGAGATAAAATTAAATTACACAGTAATTAGACATCACTGCACAACATGGTGAACATCACATAGCGTTGTGGTGAGGACATGACACTGTCGTAGTGAAGTCATGACACATATTTGTGGTGAGGACATGACAGTGTGTTTAATTGTCTGCTGAGTGTAATGGTCTGTTATGTAAAGGTCTGCGCTGATAGTATCAAGTTTCCTTCATCATGTATCATTTAGCAATTAACTATCGTATTAGCGATTCTAATCATGTTGTATCAGAATTCTATATCAGATTTGTATCACATTTATAATTCGTTAGAGAATTTGCCCTGTTCAAAAATCCTTTTCTATGTTTAGCTAGTGCATCTAGTGTCATTAAGTGCTATACTTTACTAGTGCATCTAGACTGATATTTAACTACTACATCTAGTGTAATACTGTGCTAGTTAACCAGTGTATCTATCTTAATTTTGTGTTATGTTACAATTAGTGCGACTAGAGTGAAATTGTATTGTTCACTGTATGACAATTAAGGAGTTGCATCACACTGTGTGTGGAGACTAACACAACACAAATATTTATTAACATCACTAGACAAGATTTCTAGAAGCTGAGAGGATACCTACACGAGGGACTAGGTGTTAACTTTTACATTAGCTAGTTAGTCGTACCTTGCAGTGATTAGGCACACACTCCACGGTATTATTGGACAGCCACTGTAAGGTCAGGTCAGGTCAACTTGAGGCAGGGTCATGGGTACTGACCTTCCATCTCGAAAGACTGCTGTGAGGTGTCTTGAACGGTAGTTTCCAACTCTTTTGATCTTTTACATCCTGCCGCTCTCTCACATTCTAATTTAGTATCATCCTGGGAAAGGTGATAATCTCGTCCAGGGAAGGTGGGTTGGGAGTCCCCAAGCAGAGTGGTGTTCCCAGATACACAGTGGAATACATGGCGGCACGGGTCTTCAGGCTCCTCCTGTCCGCCTCTATCGCCCTGAAAGTGCTCGTCATACTCGCTTTCTGAGATGTCGTTATCAGTAAGGAACTCCTCGTAGTTGTAATCCTTGAATACGTCTTTGAAGATGAGGTCTACAGCTTTCATCTCCTCCTGGCAGTCTCCTTCACGGATCATCATGTATTCTTCGTAAGCGTTCTGTTCCCCTCCGCCCTCTCCCGCGTCCTCACTATCCTCGTAGCGACTCGAGTCCTCATTATAACTAGAATCCTCATAAAAAGAGGTTTCCTCTTCCGTTAATGCCTCAAATTCGGCCAATAAATCTTTCTGATTTCCTTCTCTGACTCCTGTGTTTTGAAGGTAATTTCCAGTTTCAGCAGCATTATGAATACTGCTCTTATCTGCTGAGGCGGAGAGATCAATCAGCACATCAGATGTGAGAGGGCTCCATTCCTTGGCATAGTCTTCCTCTACTTCATCTGCCCATTGTTTATGTTTTGGCTTTTTGCTAATTTCTTCTGTTCCGTCTCTCTGTTCAATGCTTTTCAAATTATCCATTTCATTTGTTCTCCTTCCATCACCCGTTATTTCTTTTACTTTGGTAATGTCAGTAATCCCTTGTAATTCTACCCCCTTCATCTCTCCCTTTCCATTTATATTTCCTGCAGTGATACCTTGATCGAACACACTCTGTCTCTGGCCACTGCTTGTGTCAGCTTCTTTCTTCAACACACCACTGCCCTTTAGTTCATCTCCTTCCTCCAGTCCGCCTTTCTTGCTTTTATGTTTCCTTTGTCTTGGTCTTCGTTTCTTTTTCTTCTCTCTTGGTATAGCGCCTCCAGTCTCACCTGTTCTGTGTTGCACCTGTTCTATCATTTCCTGGTCATCTGGCGATCCTTGTGTCTCTCTCCCTATTTCTTTGGGCGCCTTTGTTTTATATATATTAGAAATATTTCGTTGCAAATGTTTAGCATCTCTTTTGTCAACATTCTTCCCTTCAATTATCTTTCTTTGCCATGGTTTGCATGGTCTTCCCAGCTTATTCTTAATCCCTTCTTTGTTTACCGATTCCTTCTGAAGTTCTATAAACTCATGCTGAGTTGTGATTTGTTGGCTGCTAGTCCGAGACACATCCATGGATTCCTTTTCTTCCTGTAAAGTACCCTTGGGTTCTTCTATAACCTCTTCGACCTCACCAGCACCCACCAAATCTGACCCACAGATGCTCTCCTCTTTTCCTTGACCGACTTTTATGTAGTTTATAACGATGCCGTCTTCATCCTCCTCACTGAAGGTATGGCCAGACTCAAAGGACTTCATGTCAGCCTTCAGTTCGTTGCTCATTCTTTTGTCAAGCATACCCGCCCATGGAACCTCGGGTGACTGATTGCCACTCATTCTTTGTTCAAAAGCACTCATCGAGACATTCTTAGTAGTTTCACTACTATTGTGAGAGTCTTCTCGTTTCTCAGCGAGATGAACCACACATTCTGGGTAATTTAATGCTGTATCCCCCTTTTTGTTTAATTTACCTTCATTTACATGTGGAACTTCTTTCCTTTCATGTTCATCTGTCAAAAGATTCGTTGTTTTCTTTGGTTTATCTTTAAATAGCTTGGTTTCTTTCTTGGGATCTTCCTCATCAATAGCAATATTTGTGGCAGTAGGTTCGTCTTTGATGTTTAAATCCTCAAAAAGAGCATCTGAAGCAGATAGTTGTTCATGTTCGGCTTCCATAGAAAGAGCCTTTAGAGCAGCTGGTTGGTCTTCATGGTCTGCAAAATCTTCTGGAGTGGCTGGCTGGTCTTCGTGGGCTGGTTTCTTAAGAGCCTCAAGAGCAGATGGTTGGTCTTTGTGGTCTGGTTCCTTATCAAAAGCCCCTTGTACAACTGTTATGTCTTCGTGATTGGGCTCCTTAAGAACGTCTGAAGTAGCTGGCTGGTTTTTGTAATCTGGTTCCTTTTTAAGAGCTTCTAGAGCGGATGGTTGGTCTTTACGGTCTGGTTTAGTAAGAGCTTTTTGAGTGGCTGGCAGGTCTACATGATCTGGTTCCATAGTTAGAGCTTCTAGAGCGGCTGATTGGTCTTTGTGGTTAAGTTTCTTAGGGAGAACCTCTAGTGACACTGCTTGATCTTCGTGAGATGGCTCTGAAACAAATACATTTGTAACAGCTTGTTCGTCTTCGAGGTTTTTCTCAACAAGAACCTCTGGAGTAGCTGGTTGGTCTTCAGAATCTGGTTTCTTAAGAACCTTTGGAGCAGCTGGTTGGTCTTTTTGATCTTGTTTCTTAAGGGCATTTGGAGTGGTCAGTTGGTCCTCATGGTGAGGCTTATTAGCAGGAGCCACTGGAGGAGCTAGTTGGTCTGTGTGGTCAGTTTCCTTAAGAGCCTCTGAACCCTCCTGCTGTTCTTTACAGTCTGGTTCTGTAACAAGAACCTTTGGAATAGTGAGCTGGCCTTTGTAATCTGTTTTTTTCACATAGGGCTGTGTAGCTGCTGGTTGGTCTTGGTGGTCTGGTTCCTTAAGTGATTCAGTAGCTGCTGGTTGGTCTTCGTGGTCTGGCTTCTGTGAAGCCTCTGTAGCTGCTGGTTGGTCTTCGTGGTCTGGCTTCTGTGAAGCCTCTGTAGCTGCTGGTTGGTCTTCGTGGTCTGGCTTCTGTGAAGCCTCTGTAGCTGCTGGTTGGTCTTGGTGATCTGGTCCCTCAAGTGCCTCTGGAACAGTTGGTTGATCTCGTTGGTCTAATTCTTTAAGTGTCCCTAGTGTGGTCGCTTGGTCTTGGTGGTCTGGTCCTTTATATGTTTCTAAAGCAGACTGTCGATCTTCTTGGTCTATTTTCATAAGTGTCTTTAGAACAGCTGCCTTGTGTTCATGATCTATTTCTTCAAGACAAGTCGTTGAAGCAGTTGGTTGCTCTTCAAGGTCTGTATCTGTAACAGAAACCTCTGGAAGAACTGGTTGATCTTCGTGGTCTGGTTCTTTAAGAGTCTCTAGAGTAAGTGATTGGTCTTTTTTGTCTGTTTCATTAAGTGCCTCTGGAACGAGAGATCTGTTTTCGAGGTCTGATTCCTCAACAAGAGTTTTTGATGCTGCTGCTTGATCGTCAGTGTCTGTTTCTATAACAGGATCCTCTTGAATAGCTGGTTGATCGTCCTGAACTTGCTCTTTAAGAGCATCTGGAGCACCTTGCTGGTTTTTGTGGTCTAGCTCTTTAACAAGATTACCTGGAGGTGCCTCTTCCTCACTGGTGAAAGATTCTTTAAGGCTTTCTTTACAAAATGTATCTTGCTGTTGGTCAACATCTCCACAAGAGCCATCATACACGTCCAGGTCATTATCTTGGCAACTTTCAACATATGACGCTCTATCATAATGTGTTCTTTTCTCCCTGAATTTCGTCTTTTTAACGAATGTTCTTTTCTCCCTTACAGGATTAGTTTCTGTCTTCTGCTTATTCTCAGCATCAACGTCTGTCGATATATTACTCTGTGGCTTCGGTTCACGCACACTAACAGGAGTGTTTTTTGCTGTGTTGTTTCTGTTGTGTTGCTCTTCCGTTTGTGATTCGTTTGATTCTTTCTCATGGACTCCACCATTTACTTCAAGATTATCATCCTCAGCATTTTCCTGCAAAAAAACATGCATCTTTTCATCAGCAATGGTTACTTGTGCTGCAGAGGTGTGTGAGGACGGCGTACTCGGATTGTTGCTATTTTCTCTCTTTTCCATCTTCTCCTCATTCTCGCTGTCTTGTCTTACGATTTCTGTAAACTCTGGATATTCCTCGTCGACCTCCGCAACCTTTTCCCTCTCACTGTCAACATTTACTTGGTCAGTAGTTTGTGAATACATCATTTCTGTTATTCTACCTTGTTGTAAAGGTAGTTCGTTCATTTGTATATTTTCGATCTCTGCAATCTCTGGTTCATTTTCTGAGGAGACTTCCTGATGGATCTTGAGCCCTCCTTGGTGTTGCAGATCGTCATCTTTCAGTTCATCTTCATTTTCTTGGTCCAAGTTTGTGTCTGCTAACCAGACCCTCATGTCAAGGCTGTGATTATTGCCATCCTCTCTCTCACTTGACTCACTCTGTAACCACACGCTCATACTGATTCGTCGGTTACCCTTATCTAGCGGACCGTCACTTTCAGCCGAGCATTCTGCTTCTCTTTGATGATGGTCAACCACGTAAATATCTCCAACATCGTCACTGTCATCATCTTCAGTAGTCTCAGTTGCAGTTTCCACTGGTGTGGCGGTAAGACCATTCCTGTGCACCGAGGTATGACTAGTATCTGCTCTCCCTTCTCGAGTGCATTCACTGTTGACATCTGGATTGTCTAGTTCATTATCAGAATGTACACGAACTAGAATGCTTCTGTGATCATGTTCACGGTCACTTTCACCATCCGGGGCTCCTATAGCAGTAGTCTCCTGATCACTTTCATCTTCTAAAGTGCCGGTACCATCAGCGTGGTCACTTTCCCCATCCGGAGCACCTGGATAATAATACTGATAGCCTTCAACTTCCAGAGCACCTGAATCAGCCTCCTGATCACTTTCATCTCTAACACGAGCGTCTTCACCATCTGAGGCCGCACCTGTGTCACCATCTCCGCTGGCACCATCTGGGGCCCCACCTGTGTCACTATCGTCATCACTCTCACCATCTGGGGCCCTGCCCCTGCCACTTTCATCACTCTCACCATCTGACCCTTGTATCTCAATGTCACGTTCCATGTCATAATTTACATTAAGCAGTGATATGTTTAACTTATTCCCACCGACAAGATTCTCAAATCTGCTCTCCAACTGAGGAGTCTTGGCACTTGCTTTGCCACTCTCCTTGTCCTCTCCTTCATCGTTGTCCACCTTCGTGTGAGTCTTTATAGTGACGACTGTCTTGCCTGGTTTTCTCGTGCTCTTGCCGTCATCACTCTCAGCTTCACTAACATCCGCATCGTTACCAGATTCTCCTACTTCCAACAATGCCGCCGGAATGTTAACATAAATGAGAGAGTCCGATTTCTGGGGTAAGCAGAGGAACGCCGTCACGGGACCATCCTTCCATCTGTTGCCCGTCAACTCTGCTATTGTAAAGTCCAAGTTGTGGGGATATACTGGAATTACCTCATCCGTTTGTAACCCGATAGTCCTCTTCTCCGTCTTCCTGATGCGCCGGAGAGAGCTGGTGCGGATAGAAATTGAATCAGGCTGGATATCTTGAAGGAAATTGTCTTGGATGGGAGACTTGAAATGTTCTTCAGTCTGTGTTGTTGCCGTGGTCTTTTTTACCTTTCTCATTCGCCGTAAAGAGCTTGTGTTAGTGTTTATAGAAGTGTTGTCAGGCGCAGCATTACTATTTGTCTGATTCCTCTCTTTATTTATTGGGTTCTTCTTTAAGACTTGCAGTGTGTCGGAATTCTTATGAACTTCCTGTTCTCTTAGTTGAGGAGCGAACTTAGTTTTATTCAACAGTTTGGTATTCTCCACATCTCCAATAATCTGGACGACTGGAAGGGCACTGTTCTCCGGTTCATTCTGGACAACTGGAAGGGTAATGTTCTCCTGTTCGTCCAGAGACGGGGTGGTTTGAACACATCTTGTTTTTCTTTTCACACTTTTCTTTCGCCGTAGTGACGTTACTGCTGGTGTGGAAGATTCATTTTCTTTGGAAGATTCATTTTCCTTAGTCATTTCGTTCTCTAGAAAGGGTAACTTTTTCGTTTTTGCTGCCTCCTCCTCCACCTCCTTTGCTCTGTTAGGAGATTCTTCCGGTTCTTCCTTTTGTTCTGAAATAACGTTACTATCTCCTTCTGTCTGTATAGCGAGCGTTTTCTTCTTCACCCTCTTAACTCGCCTCCCAATGGAGTCTGTATTCGTCAAGGTGGAACTCGTGTCCGTGGTGTAACACAAAAGATTCCATTCCCTGTTTGTTGGCTTCGTTAACCTTTCCTTTTCTTTAGATTTACTTTGTTCTATCATTCCTTCCTTGTTTTTATGATTCTCCTGATTCTTGCTAGGTTTATTAGGAACATTTTGCTCACTTAAATCCTTCTGGCTAGTTTTCTTTTTTCTTTGTTGGTTTTTTGTTACACTTGTTTTGAGAATTTTCTTTGGAGCTCCGGTAGCCAGAGTCCTCAAATCATTGTCACTTCTTGGGTATTCATCCGAAATTTCGACTGGTTGAGATCTTTTTACTTTTCTGTCTAAACTCATGGTTTCTGATTTATTTTTCCTTACTTTTTGAGTGCCTTTACTCTCCTGGTCAGCAGGGACGGGTTTACTGAAGAAATTTGACAGTTTTTGCTCGGTAACACTTCCCTTGCCTAAAAGGCATTTTTCTGGCTGCACAAAATTTATGATAGTTTGACTATTGCTAATTTTCACGCATTTTCGCTCGTTTCTCTGGTCAGGATTATAAAGGAGATTGATTTCTATATGACTGGTCTTGTGTGGCAAGCTTGGATTAGTTGCTTTCTTGTGGCCACCTACACGAGAAGCATAAATCTTATTAAAAGCTCGTAAATCAATGTCATCAGATCTTTCAGAATCAACTGATAGTTTGGGCCAAGTCCTGCAGGTTTCCAGAGGAACTTTGCCCTGCCAGTTCTCGAGGTTTTCATGAGATACTGCCAGAGCCACACTGGATTTTATTTCTCTCTCTGATTTCCTGGGAAAGGTTGACGAAAAGTTGCCAGTAACGGGAGTCCCAGAACACTGCAGATCCTTACCGCTGAGAGAGGTACCTGGGTCTCCGTGCTCCTCCTTAGGCTTCTTGCTTGCTGTGTTATGTAGCAAGAATTCTTCAGCCATTTGTCGCCGAAAGCGAAGTCGTCTAACCATTGCGTCTGCCCCTTGATCTTCAGAGCGATCGCCACTTTCTTGACTGTTTTCTTTTTCGCTTCTTTCAGAATCGTTGTGTGTGTTTTTTGGTTTATCTTCAGTCGTGTCCTTACATTCCTCACTGCCTTGATCGTTTTCTACCTCATTTGTTTTTCCTTCTTTTTTCTTCTTTATGTCGAATTCTTGATTCTCGTTGCATTCTGATATTTGACCAACCCCTGGACAGCTTACCTTGCCTCCTCCATCCCAAATAACGTTCTCCTTCGCCAGGACAACTGGGTTCTGTTTGTTTCTCCTTACTCTTATTAAATTTGCGTTCATATTAAGAACATCCTCTTCGTCTGTTACCTCCCGTGAGTCAGGAACGAAGGAACTGATGTCATCCTTCAGTGAGAGAGAGGTGGCGTCGAGGTGTCTCGTGTAGGAACTAGCATCAGTCTGCCAGTTAAAGGAGCTCATGTCCGTATGCCACGCCAAGGAACTAGCGCTAGTCTGCCAGTCTATGGAACTCTCCTCTCCTTGCCAGTCTGTGCTTGTATCTAAATCTTCTGTTAAGAAAATCGGATTATTAAATAGCAAAGGCCCCATCGAATCGGTCTGCATTCCCATGGAAATTTTACTAACTTGCGACGCTGATTTTTGTATTCCTTCCGATAGATGTTCACCATAGTTAGCATCAGTTTTGCCTGCCTGAGATATGTCACCATGAGAACCAACAGATTTCTTTTTACCTCTGGTGGGCTTATCTTGATTGTCCAAATAACTAACATGGATAGTCTCGTTCTGCTGGTCATTGAAGTGTACAGTCTCCTTTTTGGTTGGATTTGCTAGTTCAACAATAGCAGTCACTTTTTTCTTGCCTTTTATTTGACGCTTCGCGCCTCTTTTGTCAGCAGGCTCGCTGTCTTCTCTGCTGTTCAAACTAGCTTTGCCCTGCTGGCCCCCATCCCAAGTCCTTCCTGCTTTTCCCCTTCCCAATGATCTTTGCATCCCAAGACCTCATCAGTCTGAACACTTATCGTTCTCTTTTCTATCTTCTTTCTCCTGAGGGAAGGTGTTCTTGACCTGGACCGTGACCCTGCCTCAGAGTCGACCTCTTGACCCCCTGACCTCTTCGAGCCATCTCGAGGGTGCTTGCCTTGCTTCTTGTTTCCTGGTTCTGAGTGAACGAACAGGACACAGTTACTAAACGCAGCTAGGGCTAACCTTGAAGGAAACCCACAACTAGACTAAGAAAACATACAAATTAATTTTGTCTACATATTTCTACTCCAGCTGAGGGACTCTTCAAGAGATTGCAAAAGTGAGAGAAAGAGCATCTTAAAAAGATGAAAAACAAAAAATAAAACTGTAAGAGGAAGAAATAGGGAGATGAAAAGAAAAGAAAAAAAACATAGAGGAAGATGTAAAAGGGACATAAAAAGAAGAAAGAAAAAGAAAAAAGTGGAAGAAGGAGGCACTGTATTTACATTATTAACTCCGATGGTTAGTATATCAGGCGATTAAATTAATTTTGAGGAGAACCTGCCTAGTATAGGCCAGAGGGCCTGCTGCAGTGTTCCATTATAATGCTCCTAAGTTATTATATAACATTTTCAATTAGTTTTAAGAATAGAAGAGCATTGCAGTAGGCCTATTAGCCTATGCTACAACTCATTTATCAACGTGACTATGGTTAGTGGCAACTAAATCAAGTCATTTCAGCAATTTTATTGACAAAATACTTGAGTCGCTAACCAGTTTCGGCCAAACTGAGTGCCAGAACATGATTTTTCAACGCAAACCTGTCAAGAAGATTCAGATTTTACTAATATTTAAACAGATTATAGTTCGCTTTGGATTTTTATAAGTGCTGATTTGAGTATATTATTACTGACACTCAGTTTTGTGTGTAATGTTAACTTCATCCAGGTTTATGGTGTAGGTGAGACGTTTCATGTATTGGAAGAGCGCATAGTCTTTTTCTAACTGGATCACACTGATGGCCTGTGGTTCACCAATTGTTTTCCAGTGTCCAGTCTGTCCCGTGTGAGTTGACTCGCTGCTGTCGCATGGGAAGCTCCACCTTCCTGGGGTTTCCAGGAATACTGTTTTTTGGCCATTTTTTTTTTTTTTTAGAATATCCATCTCCAAATTTCCTGGAGGAGGTGTGAGAAGTCTTTTGCGGTGATTTATAAAAAAAATTTAGGCTCCTCTTCAGTGGAGAGGTGAAATCAGGATGATTTAGTTGCAGCAAGCTGTGCTGATAAGCAATACGAACAAAATGAGTACTAACATGGGCTGTAGGTCCTAGTGCAGTGCTCCTCCTTTCTAAATAACTTTCTATAAATGAGTTTTCTGTCAGTTAATCTCCTACACTTTCTAAGGTGTTTTTCCTTTACCTGCACATTCTACTGAAGACAACTTTAAATGAAAATCGAAATAAATAGACAAAATTCACTAGTATTCTTTTTTATTCTCCTTGAGGATTTCATTTAAAACACTTACTTGACATAAATTATATATATATATATATATTATATATATATATATATATATATATATATATATATTTATATATATATATATTATTCAAACAGCTTGTCAAGACCCTGCTGACACTCTAACACTACATTTTTTAAACCTACCCCATACCTATTCGACCCCATTGCCTATGCTCTAATTTAGCCCATCTATCGTCCAATAGCTGTTTTATATCTTTCCCAAACTTCCTCCTATTTTTGTTTCTAAAACCTTCACCTCTCTTTTCCCTGTTGCTTCTATTTCCTTGTATCATCTACCTTTTACTCTCAAGATTTGTAGCTACTACGAGAATGTGATCTGATATATCTGTGGCCCCTCTTAAACATGTTACATCCTGAAGTTACTCAACAGTCTTTATCTACCAATACCTAATCCAACAAAACTACTGTCATTTCGCCTACATCATATCTTGTATATTATTATCCTCTTTTTCCTTAAATCTATGTAATTACCTTTCAACTAACCCCTTTCTATACAAAGTTCAATCTAAAGGGCTCCCTTATCATTTACACCTGGCACCCCCAACAATTCTTACTACCCACCCTCTCGAAAGTTTCTCCTACTTTTGCATTCAGAGTCCCCTACACCAATTACTCTCTCACTTGGTTGCATAGGCTCCTTACTTTCACTTAACATCTCCCTAAATCTCTCTCTCTCCTCTGCATTCCTCTCTTCTCAGGTGCATACACGCTTATTATGACACACTTCTCGCATCCATCCTTTACTTTAATCCACATTAATTCGTGCATTTACACATTCATATTCTCTTTTCTCCTTCCATAATGATCTGTCAACATTCTGCTACCCTTCTTTGCTCTAACTCTTCAGATACTCCAGATTTAATCCCATTTATTCCCCCACCGGAAACTCCCTAACCCTTCAGCTTGTTTCGCTTAGGGCCAGGACCATCCAACTTCTTTCATTCATAACATCAGCAATCATTCTGTTTCTTGTCATCTGCATACATCCACGCACATACAAGCATCCCAGTTTTTATAAAGTTTTTCTTCTTCTCTTTTTTAGTAAATGTCTACAGGAGAAGGGGTTACTAGCCCATTGCTCCCGGCTTTTAGTCGCCTCATTCGACACGCTTGGCTTACGAGGAAAATGACTTCTTTTCCACTTCCCTTGGACAAAGAAGAAATAAAGAAGAACAAGAGCTATGTAGAAAAGTAGAAAAGAGAAAAACCTAGATGTATAATAGTTAGATATATATATAATATATATATATATATATATATACTATTTATATATATATATATATAAAAATATATATATATATTATATATATAGATATATATATATAAATATATTATTATATATATATATATGCATGTGCATGGTGCATGTCTGGTGAAGTGTGACCAAAGTGTAAGTAGGAGTAGCAAGTATCCCTGTTTTCTAGCGTGTTTATGAAACAGAAAAAGACACCAGCAATCCTACCATCATGCAAAAACAGTTAAAGGTGTTTCTGTTTCACAGTCATCCTGGCAGGACGGTAGTACTCCCTGGGAAGTTGCTGTCTACCATTACCACTACCTATATTTATATTATATATAAATTTTATATATATATATATATATTATATATATATATATATATATATTATATATATATATTAATATATATATATTACATATTTATATATATATATATTTATTATATATATATTTGTATATATTGGATATATATATATATATTCATATTTATATAGGCTATGGGGTCGAAGAGGTATGGGTAGGTTTAAAAATGTAGTGTTAGGTGTTCAGCAGAAGTTTGTGGTGGTTAAGGAAAGTGGGTGCAGGAGGGGAAGAGGAGCGATTGGTGGAATGATGATGTAAAAGCGTAGTAAGGGAGAAAAAGAAAAAGTTAGCCATATGAGAAGTTTTTACAAAGTAGAAGTGATTGCAAGGAGGGAAGAGTATACTGGAGGAAAAAGAGAGAAGTTAAGAGAGAGTGGTGAAAGAATGTTAAAAAGAGAGCAAATGAGAGTAGTGGGTGAGATGTTATCAACAAATTTTGTTGAAAATAGAAAAGTTTTGGAAGTGAGATTAAACAAGTTAAGAAAGAAGCTAGAGAATCAAAATGGATTTGTCCAGTTAAAAATAGGATGAGGAGGTTATTAAATGTAGATGTTAGAGGTTTGGGAAGTTGGAAAGGATTATTTTGAGGAATTGTTAAAATGTTTGATGAAGATAGGGAAGCTGTGATTTCGTGTATAGGGCAAGGAGGAATAACATCTTGTTGGAGGTGGAAGAGAAGTGTGAGGTGGGGGAAGTTAGTGAGGCAGTAGGTAAAATGAAAAGGGGGGTAAGGCAGGCCGGGATGGATGGGGATAAAGATAGAAATGTTAAAAGCAGGTGGGGATATAGTTTTGGAGTGGTTGGTGCAATTATTTAATAATGTATGAAGAGGGTAAGGTACCTAGGATTGGCAGAGTGCATGCATAGTCTTTGTGTATAAGGCAATGGGTTTAATGAGAGTGCAAAAATTATAGGGAGATAAGTCTGTTGAGTGTACCTGGTAAGTGTATGGTAAGTTTTAATTGAAAGAAGTAAGAGTAAGACGGAGAATAGGAGAGCAGATGAACAAGGAGGGCGTTAGGAATGGTAGGGGGTGTGTGGACCTGGTGTTTCAGTTGAAAATATAAGGTGAACAGTATGTAGATATGGCTAAGAGGTCTTTGTGGCTTTTTGGATTTGGATAAGGCGTATGGACAGGGTGGTATAGAGGGGGCAATGTGGCAGATGTTGCAAGTGTATGGTGTAGGAGGTAGGTTACTGAAAGCAGTGAAGAGTTTTGACGAGGATAGTGAGGCTCAGTTAGAGTTTTTAGGAAAGAGGGAAAATTTTTCCCAGTAATAAAAGTAGGCCTTAGACAAGGATGGTGTGACGTCACCGTGGTTGTTAATATATTTATAGATGGGGTTGTAAGAGAAGTAAATGCGAGGGGTTGGCAAGAGGGTGAGTGAGTTAAATGATAAAGAATCACACACATAAGTGGGAGTTGTCACGCTGCTCTTTGCTGATGACACTTGTGCTCTTGGGAGATTTGAGAGAATGCAGAGATTGGTGGATGAATTGGTTTTAGGGTGGTTGCAAAAGAGAAAATTAAAGGTGAATTACTGGGAAAGAGTAAGGTTATGAGGAATAACAAAAAGATTAGGTGATGAAAGATTGAATATCAGATTGGAGGAGAGAGATGGAGGAGGTTGAACGTATTCAGATATTTGGGGTAGTGGGGAACGTGTCAGCGGATGGGTCTATGATAAGATATGAGGTGATCATAGAAATGATGAGGAAAAAAGATCTGCAGTGGTGCACTTAAGGAGTCTGTGGGACAAAGAACTTATCCTTGGAGGCAAGAGGTGGAATGTGGCGAGTATTAGTTTTACCTACGCTCTTATATGGGTGTGAAGGCGTGGATGATGGAATGTTGCAGCGTGGAGATGCTGGAGGGCAGTGGAGATGTCAGGTCTGTGGGCAATGTGTGGTGTGAATTTAATGCTGAGAATCGTAGTTTGGAAGTTAGGAGGAGGTGCGGGATTACCAAAACTGTTGTCCAGAGGGCTGAGGAAGGGTTGTGAGGTGGTTCGGACATGTAGAGAGGAATGGGAGCGAAACAGAATGACTTCAA